GCGCCGCGCGGGCACTGCCCCTCCCGGGCCGCCCCGGGCCGTGTCTGCCGGGCCCCGTGCGCTGGCCCTGGGTTCAGCGGTTCACCAAAGAGTTAATGTTATTTCACTGGGCCGCGATAAACACTGAGTTTTCGGCTCTCAGTGAGCGCGAGAGGAGTTGGTGGCACTCAACGTGACAAGGTATTCTGAATTCTTTATTTCCTTCTCTCCCACAGAACAAATGTTCTTAAATAAGCTGCTCTCCCTGCTGAAGCAGGTGGGGAAAGTACATTCCTAAGGCAAACTTACACAGGAATATTCAAAATGACAACAGCTGTTGAGCCCCCATCACTTTTAAGTTTTCTGGTGAAACCTTTAAATGCCTCTCTTGACAAAGGATAAAAACTCTGAGTCGCTCTTTGTTCTTAATCCAGAGTAGCAAGTCTGCACTTTTATTTACTGATAAAGCTATCACATTTTCAGTGTCTTTTGCTGAAGCTTCAGTCTGAAGATGTGCCTTTATTTCCAGATTTAGTCACGAATGCTGTAGAAAGTCTTCTGCAAACAAAGAAAGCCCAGTTATGAGTGGGTTTGCATGTTTAGAGCCTTCCTAGGTGATCGCTCAGATGGACAATATAAAACCCCCACAATGCAGTTCAAATAATCTGTGTAATCACCATGTCCTCACTTTTATTTCAAGACCAGGGTCCTATGATTCCAAACTAGACAAACGTCCTATTTTTCACTTTGGTGCTTTCTCTCTTTAATTCACAAGGAAAGGAAGGTTTTACAGGGAGAAGTAATATATCATTTACTGAACCAAGCAGGAAAAGGACAGATTGAGAACAACTGCTTTCAGTTCCACTTAATTAAACTGACCAAGAGGAAATGATTCTGCCAGGAACTGAAAACCAGAGGAGGATGTTCTGGCCTCTGCTTCAGTAGGGGAAGTACTGCACTCTTCAAAGTAGCTTAATTTTGGAGGCACAAGGCATGTTAGTCTGAGTCAGGAGAGTGCAAACAGACTGGCTATGGAGCAATGCTTCCTTAGTGCAGCCTCAGGGGAACCCACTGTGTGTTGGAATCTAAAGAGCTTGGGATATTCTGAGTATTAGCTTTACTAGATGCACTTCCTCTGCAAAATATCCCATTGTTCCTGTTTACTCATTGGAGAATATTCCTGAATGATGAAATCTGTTCTACATTTCTGAAATTCTGCAGTACCTTTTTCCCCATGGCTTGATTTTCATTTTATCCTAGCATTTTGCAAAGTTGTCCAATGCAGACATTTGATCTAGAAAAGTAAGTAACAGTCATATCAGAGGAGAATTTAACATTGTAGTCAACAAGCCATCATATTAAGTAGGGAGGCAATTGGGCCCCTTTGTTGGGATGAAAAGTTACCTATAGCTTCATCTCTGATGCAACTGGAATATAATCCTACAATTTGCTTAGCAGGAACAACATCAGACTTCAGCAAACAAGGACAGTTGCTGAAGACCTTCCAGGATTTGAGCTTAAAATTAATAGCTTGAGTTTCTTTTCCTAAAACTCAAGGAGACTATAGGCAATGGATCTTGTTTGTGTAGATATGAGCATAGTCAATGGAATTAACAAATTCTACACTTTGCACTGTACCTATAGCCAACATTTCAAGAAGCTTTGGAATGCAGAGATGGGCACTGGGAGCCTAGGCAATATGGAGGTAAGTACTGACTGTGTAGGTATGGCCCTTTGCAGGTAGGAGGCCAAGTCCAATGCATCACTTCTCACCTCATGTTTCCGAAGGGTTGGAAGTGGCAGCAGAATGTTGCAATGGTCACAGGTCACCAGCATGTCAAAAGACTGAGTGTCTTTAAGACCTTGAGGTGATGTGGAATGTCCACCTCTTATGGGAGAAGGAAAGCCAATCTTTTTGTTCTTTGGGGTTTTGGAGGTCAGTGGCTGGTCCCTTTCTTTCCCTTTGGGACGGACATCTTTCCATGCCATTGCATTCTCAGAAGAGGAAGAGGAAGCCAGGAAGGAAGAAGACTGTGGTGGATCCCTGATCTGGTTTGAAGTTGACTGTCCAGCTATAACTTTAGTCAGCTTATGGGCTGCACTGCATTTATCCTGTTAGAAGAGAGCGTGCATGATGAGGTGGAAATCGGCATTACAGCTAACCATGTGGCCATGCTGTGATCTGTGACAGAGGTGAGGCAAGGAGAGGGACCTTGGACACCTCCTCACAGTGATGCTTCAGCGCAGTTCACTGTATCATGACACTGTGTTTGAAAAGCCAAGACACACTGCCCTTTCTTACCTAATATACAGCTTTTCAGAGAAACAACCTGGCTGGAAATTAAGCACAGACCATACTCTTGCTCAGTTTCAAATATGCTTACCAGATGTTGGGAGTACTGGAAATCTGGGAATGACTTACTGCACTTCGAACAAAGATTGCCACCAGTACCTTCAGAAGGGGGAAAAAATGGAAAGAAAGTACTGACCATAGTTATCTAGACAGGCTGCTCAGATCTGTGTATGGTCACTGGTTCTACAGAAATACAGAATTCTGACTCCACTGGCTAAGAAGGAATTTGAGCTGTAACTACATTTTGCTATTGGCATTGCTCAAGCCAATCTAACCATCCCTTCTCACACATTTCAGGATAAATGAAATTCCATTCCAGCCCCATGTTTTGTGGCTCAAGATGCTTCACTCCTACCCTGGCCCAACCAATTCTGTTGCTAGGAGGGTTTGCTCTCTACAATCTATTTTACCAACCACTGCACAAACCAATGCCTGTTGTTTTCTGGAATCATTGACTAGGTTCATTAATCTTTTGTCTTGACATACTCTGCCCAATACCTTAGGCCTAATAAAGCTGCTCTCAACTTTAAGAAATCAAGGTATGCATCACTGGCTTTGTGCATGAAGTAGGAGGAAATTCTAAATCACATTTTCTCTTGTACAACAAATAGAAAGAGAAACAAGTTCTACTTATTTTCTGACAGAAGGAATTTAACTTTCAAAATATAAGGGAGGCATAAAAGAACATGGCCAATGAGTTACCAGTCAGTGGAATCACTCTGGCTTTACAATTACCAGCACAACAGTAAGCAACACGTGGCCCTTTCACTGTGGTTGGTTAAACAACAATCCCTTCCTGCCTGGATTTCTGAGAATTGTAGAGAAGGCAGGAAAATTTTCATTGAGATTTAACAGAGTTGACCCAGTCCATGACAATGAGGAATTTTGCTTACCAGTGGGGTGAATAAATGTTGCATTAGTGGATGCTGCACTGGTTTGAAAGTCCACATCCTCATGGCAGGACAGACCACTGTTGGGACAAATCTCTTTGTGTTTGTTCTGGTCTTTGTACATGATGTACTTGTTACACTCCTGACACCTCTCTGTTCGGCTGGCACAGGTGTCCAGGTGCTCCTGTAGCTTGTTGAAGGGCATTTCAAGATCACAGATGCTGCATTTCATTGCTCGTTTTTGACACTCCTTGTTCTACACACAAATAGAGGAAACTGTTGCAGCTTTTCTGTCAATACTAAAAGAGGGCATTGAGTAAGAGCAATGGGTGCCTGTTTAAGAATGTACTCCTTAAGGAGTATCTACAAAATCAAATGCAGGCTTAGCTGCATTAGCAGTTCATCTGTCTAGGCTATCTTTATTTTAGGTGATTTAGGCAATAAAAGGCAAAACCAGCTGTGAAGATGTTCTGTGTCAGTATAGGTTAGCAACAGAGCACATGCCCACCTAGAAAATTCCGTTACATCACCTACCACTACCAGGGAAAGTCTGCTGTTTTGACTGCTTTGGTTCCTTGAAACAGTTAGAGTAGAGCTAGCATGGACAGGCTGCTCTCACTTTCAGCTCTGCCACACTTTTTGCATATCTTCTCTTCAGATGTTTCATTGACTCTCACTTTGTTTAACTTTGGAAATGCAGGCAATATGAGAGTGGGGGCAGGACACAAATGTCTTTGAGAAGCTCTCAAAGACTATCAGCTTGAGATGTCAAGGATGAGAAAGGAATAGATTGTCTCCTCGAACAGACTGTCCCATCACAACTGGATGGGCAACCACCATGGGATATACTTAACTACAAGGGGCAAAAGGTATAGTCAAAACACTGCAACTCTTGAGGTGTTTAAGTTTCTTCATGGTCCAGAACAGGAGTCAAGGATTTACATGTTTTTGCTGTTGAAACCATTAGTGTGATTTTTTTTGTGTCTGGTCAAAGAGGTCATCTTGGAAGCTAAAAAGTAGTGCACTCATACTTACTTACCTCATGATGCTCCAACTGGTATTGCTGCATGCTTTGATGGCAAAGACTACATCTGATCTGCAAGCAGAACATACAGAAGTTCACTGGGAGCATCGGAGGATGGTTGATGCTTTCATATAGGAATACAACTTGAAGCTGCCAAGATCTTCCTCTCATTTTCATCCCTATCATCAACCAGTTGGTGAATTTTTGTTACTCTGTCAGGCCTGAGCTGTGTTGATGAGATTTTGGGGAGAACAGATATCTGATGATTCTGCAGGAAACTATCATCCTGTGTGAGGATCCAGTTCTCAAAGGTGCCCATGTGTAAATGCAGTGTGATGTGAAATAGTGCATATTCAAAATTTTGACTGAGTTTTAACTAAAGAGTATAGATCTGATATTCAACTAGTCTATAACAGCCCCTCTAAAATTGGAGGTGTGCCAGTTTCCTATAGGTTTGCCATGAGAACTACTCATGTTCTGTAAAATAACTGAAATAATGGAATTGCTAAAACAATACAACTAGTAAGAATAAAAAGTCATGCCTGTGTATTCATGCCTCTAGCTACAGAGCTCTAAATGCTACACTAAAAATGCTGCTGCCTCGCTGTGCCAAGACCCAAGAAACATACTCTGCCAGTTCAGTTTTTGTTAAAAAAGTGAGTTAATGTCACAGCTCTGTACAAGCAAGGTTCATGTCAGATCAAGTATTGTCTCTCTTCCTTAAATCATTCAACTTGCATGCTTGGGCTAATTCACAAGCACTAGCAGCACATATCTGTGCATCATCTGTGAGTTGTACTGCTGTGGAAACTGAGATACCATAGTGGAAGCTTCGTTCTCTTAAGCTGAGTGTGCAACAAGATCACAAGATGCTATAACCAGACCTGAAGAGTTGTATCAGACCCTTACAGGTTTTCTGGTCAAACAATGACATGAATTAAAATCTAGTTAATACGGAGCATGGTAACATGAACATACTACTTCAGGGCTGGCAGAGATCTTTGCTATTTGCAAGAACACCCTGAAGAACACATAGCATTCCTCACCTGCTTGTGTGCTTCTGTCTGATGGTCTTCCATATCCTTTTGAGCAACTGGTTCATCACACTCTGGACAGACAGTGAGGAACCGCATGCAGTGAGCCTCATGGAGAGAGAAGTTGCCAGCAGGCACATTTTGTTTACTACCGGGCACATTAAGGGAGAGAAGAGTAAATGAACATTTTTCCTTTGTGGCCAAATAAAATTGAGGCTAAACTCATGTTTAATCCTCCTAAGTTTGGCTCTTTAATTGCAGTGCTTCATTGCCTTTGTTCATACAATTTGCCCAATGGCCTTGCTACTATTCAAGACACACCAAGCTGTGCTATCCTCATGGCCCCTTTCAGCCTTCTATGAGACGTGGCCAATTACCCTGAAAAAAATTAATATTTTATCACTTAATTACAAATATAGCAACAGAAAGAACCATCAGTCATGGGGAGAAACTGAGGCAGCTGCTGGGTTTGCATGGTCCATGCACTGACTCCTCTGCCAGATACTTCAACATTGCCCACAGAGGTATTCTGTAAAAAGAAAACAGCAGGGAGAGGGCTGTGGAAGAAACCTCTGCACAGCAAAGTAGCTAGAGAGCAGCAACCTGGAAATGTGAAAATTCATACAAAATATTTCTGTTTCCTATGCAAGTGGCTAGCACATTCCGGCTGTGTGGTCCTTCCTCTGCTCCTCCTCTTACAGGAGACCTGGATAGCAATAAGAAAAAACCTAAAACTCTTGAAATCACCATGCTTTGTAGTGGTGGAGAGAGAGAAAGATCTCTTACCAATTTTTGCAGAACTTGCTCTCTTCTGTCATTTTTATTTTGCTGGATATCCTTTCTTCTAACAGCAGAGAGGGAAAAGAAATGAAACTGAAAGGTTCTGTTGCAGTAACTCCACCCCAAACAGCTGCTTAGCCAAAGATTCTTTAAAGGAAAACCAGCAACATTTCCAGAGAAGTATTGGTTTGCAGTGTGAGTTCCACACACAGATTAGTTTGCTAGTCCCCAGAGAAACTCAGGAGATCTCAGTTTCTTTCTTACCCACGTAAGTGTGATTTACAGTGGCTGGGAGGGTTCCTCCACCTCACTGCAGCAGGGCCACTGACAGCACCAGAGGCCCCAGGAGCAGCGAGTCCTGTCTCTCACTGGACCTCAGCTCTACTTTTTCACATAGGAAACTTTACTAGAAATACAAGTTAGAGAGCAAAATGAACAGAACTTCATATTTTCATTTCAATGCCAATACCAGTACCTTCAGGACTCTGATGGAAGGCCAAGCATTTATGTACCTGCTGCTACAACTGATCCCTTACAGCCATATGACACAAGTAGCTTCTCTGATGTGACAAACCCTGCCCAGTGTGAAACAATGAGATACAGGAGATGCAGAAAATATGAACTGACCTTCTTAGTCTGTCAGATGGGAGCAATAATATTAATTCTTCCACTTTGCAGAAGTATCAGAAAGAATCATTCACTAGTCTTGGCATAACATATCATAATGCCACAGACAACAGCTGTCCCAGATGTTACTCAGAAATTGGTGTGGTTCGTTTCCCATCTAAACAAGCCCCTTCTGTCCCCTAATTTTCCCTAGGAAAAATGAAAGAAAAAGGAGGCGCAATAAGCCATTATTTAGATCTGGGAACAATGAGCGTTTATCTGGATTTTGTAACACAAATTATGTAATGAAGCAGAGAAAAGGCTTTTGAAAAAATATGTTAATGAGATGGCAGCTAAGGGAGAGGTTACAGAGTTGTCAGTTCTGAATAAAATTTTTTTATGTGATTTCTTTTGGACCTTTTTATCTTTTGCAGTCATTAGCCTGCACAGCATTTGAATGCACTTTAGAGCTTCATGCAAACTGTACAGAAACACCAATTCTAGGTCAAGAAAGCCTGATCAGCAACACACACTGACTGAGGAAAACCCCACTGACTCAAAATTCATAATGAGGGCTTTTATGTAGAGAGCTGTTGGGCACAGGGATTGTGCTGAAAAGGACTCTTCGTTCAGCGTCTCAAGAGCTTTTCTTGGAAAAATATCAGATGCTCCACTGGGAACTTAGTTGAAAGCTCCTCCTGTAGCAGCACTGTGGACTGGCAGTAGCTGGGAAGTACTGATTCAAGAGAAAACAGAAAGTAATGAAACAGTGATTTTCTCTGAATGCCAGTAATAAGTCTTTCCATTTAATTCTGTGTAAACCTTCCAGTGCATAACATTACTGTACAAGACCTCTTCTAGGCATCTTTTTAAGGCAAGCATCATATAGAGGTAAGTCCTGAGCTGGTTTCTTTTTTTTTTAAATGTGATTTTCAAAAGCCTAAGTAGAAAATATTCCTTTTGCTGCTAAGTCTTAGAATATCTCAGGGTCAGTTTTAATTTTGCTTCTCAGTGTTAAGTGTGATATGTCTCACAGTGCTCGTTTAATGTCATTTTGTTACAACTTCCATAACTTTGTGTGTTGCATGGGGCTGCAACATGAAAGAACTTTAAAAGAATGTGAGAAGAGTTTTTGTCTCAAGAGGGAGTAGCAGTTATCTAGGTCAAAAGGACTGCTTTAGAACAAACAAACTGTACTTGTGTGCTTGGGCAGCATTTGAATTAGAGACAGAAAATATGTCTATCTGTAATTAAATGAACCAGCTGCTGGCTGTAAAGCCTCCTTGCCACAGACCACTCCTACTCACCAATAACTGGAGCAACTGGGATGACTGGCTTGTAGTGAGTGCAATATATCAGAAAAACAACTTCTTTGGAATGAACTAGACTATAATAAAATCTTTAGTTTACAATTTTTCCACCTGGACAGATGACTCTGGAATTCCTACCTTCCACATCACTTCCTTTTCTACTAACCAATGCAGGTCAGCCTTTCTTAACAAATCTTCATCAGTGTCCCACTTCTGAGTGGAACTCGTGATGCTGGTTCACATCATTGGCTCTGGTATCTGAAGTTCAAAAGGGAAGATTGCAAGACACTGCATGTGGTTTGACAATGCTGTCAAACTCATCTAGGTATGTGCTGTCTTGAAAGGTGCAGCTCATCAGCAAATGATGTGAAGGAGCTGCCATTCCTGTAGCACCCTCTTGTCCAGCCAGTGCCAAATGCATCTCGGTTTTAAACATATTTTGAGGGAGATGAGGAACAGCTGGAAGACTTGCCAAATGGAACATGCTCATCCCTTAGAGCCGTGCCTCATCTTGGCCTGCACTGTAAGCACCTATCCTTCCCATCCTGATTATGCATTGCACAAGTTTCCCACCTCTTTATCTGAATGTAGGCATCTTCCCTTTTATCCTCACTCTGTTCTTTTTCCTGCCTGTGTTGTTGCAGTTTGCTGTCATACATGATTATGTGGTTCTAACATCTGGATTCAGTCAGCTTCTTGCCCTCCTGGTTCTTACAGTAGAACATGAATTGACACATGTAAACCTCCAATGGTTTATAAAATAGTGATGGAGGTATGTTAAGTATGAAATATGCAGTGGCAGGATGGATCGAACAAGGGGGTAACACATTAGAATTTATCTTTCAAGTTTACAGGTTCAATTCAGTGCAGGACATTGCTGCTCTGCCTCAGCCAGCTGCTTTGCTTAGTTTCAGCTGAATTCCTAGCAGACTTCCACAGGAACTGTAGTTGGCACTAATTAGATTTTTTCTCAGCAGTCAGCACTGACATTGTTCATGAACAAATATTCCACATGCACTCCAGCAAACCAGCCTCCTGAAGCAAACCTCTAGAAAAGGAGCCTACTTTAGCAAAAGAAGTAAAAGTTGCACATTTCCATGGTCCCATTTGAGATTTCTCCCCACTGCTGCTTTAGTCAAAGTGTTGGGAATGCCTTTAAATATAAGTTTCCAAACACAGTTTATCAATGCTGGTCTTGATTCATGAAAAGAATAGTTGCTTAGTTTAGGACCTGGGTCTCAGATAAAAATAAAGGAGATCTAGGCATGCTTTCTTTCAAATCTGGACTCAATGTTTTTCCTAGATCTCTCTCTTTCAATTGGTGTTGACCAGGCAGCTCTGCCAGAAGCAGTAGGAAGTGGGTATTTATCTTTACGGGTCTGGTACTTACCGGTCCTGATTGACACCTCCCTGTTTTCTTCCTTTGCTCCTTCCTATATGCTCTATAATGTCTTGGGAGGCCTGCACCACCTTCTCTTCCCTGTCCCAAGTCAGCTGATCCTAAGAAGCCTAGGGAACATTGTGTTTCTCACATCCCTCTCCCTCTCCTCCCAAAGGTACACCCTTTGCTGATCTCGTGCTCCATGAGCAGCAGCAGAGGGTATCCACTGCCTTTCAGTCTGAATCCCTGTTATTCAGATGCTGCTTCTTTTCTGTGTCCTTCTGTATTGTTCCATATTACTGAGTGTACTTTGCTTGGCACACCGAAGGCAAGTTCTCAATAATTTTGCACAATAAGGAAGCACCGATTCCCTTTTCTGTATTTGACAAAAAAAGGACTGAGGCATGAATTAGCTAATTGAATTGCCCACGGGAGCCCCATGTCTCATCCCCAGGAACAGCAAGCAAGTCTCCTTTCACAGGATTAGTTCATCTGAAGGTATCAACACGTGTTTGTGGCCTTCCTCTTTATTTTCTTTTTTGCTGCACTGCATCTCATTGAAACAAGAAGCAAATCATATTTGCACTGGTCTATCAGAGTGAACCTTAGTACAACTTATTTAGAGTTAATTCTTTCCATTTTCTTATTTAAGTGCTTGTAGTCCTTTTTCTTTTTTGACTAGGAACTATTTTTTCATTGGAGACCAGCCACAGGAATGCAAGTTTTGGCCCATTCCACACTTTCTGCTAGGCTTTGCACTGGTGTGAAGTTTCCTGTGTGTTGGTAAGTTACCCAGAGGGACTGCTGCAAAAGGTTTGAAGATTTGGAATCTGTCCAGATCCGGTTGGCTACTGTTTCCCTTAGTGGGCATTCACTGCTTCTACAAACGAACAGTAACATTGGAGTGTCTTAGTCTGAACGTCTGTCACTCGAGTTCCTCTAGTCAGCAGAGGACAAATAGTGCAAATTGTTGTCAGAGCTCCCTCATTACTTGCCTTGGCATCTGAAATTCTTTAATTTTGTGAGTAACCACTCGGTAAGATTATATTAAGAGGCTGCAGGATCAAATCGTTGAGATACGATTTATGCTGACTCCCATTTCAGGTGGCTGTTGACATCCCAGAAGCAGAACCTAACGCGTACCAACGATTTATTTGTCCTCAGCCTAGTTTCCAGTGCCCGCCTCGCGGCGGTGCCGGCCGCTC